GTAATTTGAGTGATATCACTTCGCATTGGAGGCATCATATTTATTCTTCCTAGTAACAGAGATGTCACCTGGTACAGTTGGAAAATGTAGCTATTAAGCATACTAGAGACCATAGAGATCACTCAGAAGAATTATATAGCATCTCGTTGATTTGTATTAACTTGGTTTTATGCTTTGAGTTACTGCATGCAGAAAATCAAATGGCTGTAAATCAGAACTCTGATAGTTTATATTGGGGAAATAATCCGTATATTATATGGTGAGATGACAGACACTGTGTTTACCAAAACTTGGTTTTATCATTCTCAGATATACATTACCACATATATGACTAAAATGTCAGTTTCCGTCACATAGATTAGATGAACTGTAGTAAAATTTGTTGTTTCAGCATTATATAGGAAATTTTGCTGGAGATAACTGAACAGTGTGAGTTGGAATACGTATTTTTATCTGTCAGACAGTAATCTAGAACTATGCAAAGGCAAAACCCAGTGCTAGATTATCCAAGCTATGCACTCTAAGCAAACACCAACAACAGAATAAGCACGCTACCTGACTGTCTGGACTGCAGTGTGTTATGGCATGTGAACACGTCCCTGTCATTTTTTTTCCTGATTGACATGCCGTTAGTAAAAAGTACGTTCATGTTCTCTTCTAAAATTAGAGATTCTTCAGCATAATGGGATCTTAAGACTAGGGATCAGGTCAGTAAGTGAATTAATACAACAGCAAAGGTTCTCCTTTCCACTTGTGTAGAATATTGTTAATATTCTTTTCTCCAGTCATCATCTTGTAGCACTGCGTGTGATAAGGACTCCTTGTAGCTTAGTGAGCTCCGAGAGACTAAATGTCATGATAACCCATAGAGATATAAAGTCTTCTGACACATTTGCTTAACACAAAAGTAAGGAAGCTATATAAATTTCAAACCAATTGTAATATATGCTTCCTTTTGCCATGGATATCTGCTTATCTAAACTTCTGGATTTTGATTAGTGAATTGTGAAAATAATTATCCATCGCCATCAACTGAAAACATTGATTAAGTTCTTCAAAGGCAGTGATAAAATGTGTAGAGCTGCAGTGGAAGAGGAGGTGGACACCTTACTGCATATACTGTGAAATAAAGTATTTAGAGTCATGCTTTTATTCATCAAAGATACCAGAAGTAACCTCCCAAACACTGGAGAGAGGCCAGTCATATCAGACAGATGTTATGCCGAAAGACTAACTGCACTTTGTTTTCTTTCTGGCTTTTGAGGGGACTGCAGAAGTGAGAATAGTTTTTTTTTCAGAAAAAGAGAAAACATACTATGGGTTTGGGTTTTTTTGTGGTTTGGTTTTTTTTTCAGAATTGTTATTTAGGCAAAATTCTTGTTAAGGCAATTTCTATCTTTACTATTACTTACGTTTATATTTCCTTTATAGTAACTGTGAGACTTTTGTTGCCTTACCTTTTGTTTGATATTCACCGTATCTGGATTAGAACTCATCAGTTACTCTGAAGAATGCCGCTGCATTTCCATTTCCTAATGCTTTCCAGCAGCTCCACGTACATTCAACAGGAATATATCAGGAAGGGAGATCTCAGATCAAATTCTTTTTCTCTTATGTAGTCTACACATTCGCCTATCATTAATTCATTCCAGAATGGCCAATTAAGCAGGGGTGGTTGTGGCTTTAGGTAAATATCTTAGTGGCATGTGTAGTCCCAGCCTGTTTCTCCAAGCACCTAACCCTGTTTCGTTAAGTCATGCTGCTCGTCTATCGCTCTGAAAGTGACCTCTTAAATCCCCAAAAGCTACACATATGGTTTATTGATTTACAGGTGAAATTCAGGCATTTTGATCAGCAAGGCTCTCTGCAGGACATCCAGTCTTGTAACAATGTTTAGTCGCATGAGTGCTATTCAGTGGCAGTAGTTCAATGACAGCGTGCTAAAAGACCACAGTGAAAATATAACTGATACTCAGTAGATTTTCTTTTTCCAGCAGCTGTTCCAACCACTTCATTCAAAATTATTTTCAAAAAATAGCAATTACTGACTCTCCTTGCTTCTTCTCCCAACTCAAAACAGCCAATGCTGTTGCATTTCACTTGGTTTGTATACGAAAGAGGATAAATGTGTGTGCTTAACACTTGTGTAATTTCAAAACACTACCTGACAACTTACAGAAGATGAGATCATGATGTTCTTTACCAAAAAGTAGTGCTGCCACCCGTTCTTCATCCCATCACTGTTTTCCCAATGCAGTAAATCGCCTTTGTCTAATTCATGGTTGACCTTTGCACAAACAGCCTGAACAGATATTTGTATTAACATACTTCTGCAGTGCAACTCAGATCTCACAGAGCTACTGCCTTATTCCTCTTCCTTGAAGAGACAAATAATCCTGTCAGCTGTATTTGGCTTTCTTTTGCTTTTTGATGCTCACTGATTTAATTTCTCTGACTTTTTTCCTCTTTTCCTCATTGCATTTTATGAGCACCTGTATTTAATTTATGTGCCAATGTTATCCCTGTGGTTCAGATTACCATCATCACTATTTAATAAACTTTGTATAAGCCATAAGAGAAACTAAAAAAAATAGAAGATTTAAGTTCATTCATTAGTTGTTGTTTGGTTTCGTTTTGGTATTTTCTTCGTCCTGGGTTTATATGATTTAGAAACAATTCCTATTGCTTGTGTTGAGGAGACCCTCCTTTTATAAATATAATTTCTGTAGGCATGTAGATGTTTGAGATGTTAAGATGTGCAGCTTGAAAGGAAGCAATGTTGTGAATCTTTTCGTATCAGATAAATACAGTGTAGAGAGTGTTTGCCTGGCTTTTGAGTACCTAAATGAACATTCTTTTCTGTCTTGTTCCTGCTACAAAATAGAAAATAATCTTAACATTTATGTTTTCCTATTGTCCAATTAGTGGTAACTGCAAAAAAAAGCATACGAAGCTGGTTTATGATATTTCTGTAGCAACCTGTTCATTGGTAAAGGTCGTTCCTGAAAACTGAACAGAAATCTCAAAATGACAGAAATCAATTAGTTCTTTTGCGTAATGATTCAAATCCAAATCAAATATAAAAAGCCGTAAACACAACCCTGGGAGAACTATTTGAAGGGAATTTATCAATTATTCAAAGGGGTTAGAACACCTGTTGCTATTTAACTGCTGTAATAGTAAATTAGCAGAGGTTTGTTGTACACAGAACAAGGACATACTAGTGGAAGTTAACATATGTTACTCAAAGTAAAAAATTCCTTGTTTTATTAGTGGAGTATTTATCTCTGGATAAGTGCTGATAGAACAAGTAGTTCGCCTATGCAGTTGTTAAATGTGGCAGCAGTTTTAGTGCGTTTGTGAGAGATGCGTTGGGAATTATATATGGCAGACACTAATAACAGGAAACTCCTTCATGGTTTTATTTATAAACATTTTAGCTGTTAAATGTTAACTGAGGAGATTAAATCTCGTTGTGAAGGCATAAGTGCTACCAAGTCAGCAGATCTTGTTCAATTGTTCCTGTTGTTTCCCTTATAGTTTGAGTTAAAACAGTTGGTTTTGAAGGTGCGGTTATTCATAAAAGCTCTGCAAAGGGCTAGGATCTGGTTTCATTTCCAGTTTTCAATCAAATAGTGATATCATACAATGGTGACAGTTGTTTATTAATTAATTAATTTCCCAGTAGTCATTAAGGAAGATGCTGAACAGGAGCTACTATAATTGGACATCTTAAAATCAGGAGGTCTGATACATTCATGCAAATTTTTTTTTGTTAACTGGCAAAAAGCCTTTTGGAGTGTGAGTATTTTCTTCAGTAAATGTTTGAATAATGCAGAAGTCCCAGAGAGCGTGAAGGAAACTGAAGGATGAGAAGAAAACTAGCAATGCACCGAGATGTTATAAAGAATAAGTCAAGGTGACATTGATATGGGAGAGAGAGAATAATGAAAAAAAGATTTTAAAAAGGGTAAAGGAGGCAATGGCAGCTGATGCTGATTATGGAAAACGTTTAAGAAATAAACTGCATCATTTTTAAAAATATGTTCATATGTTTGTTCGCTAGAGGTAGTGGCGTTGATGCATATGACTTATGCCGCTATAGGGTGTTCGTCTTATTTTTACATGGCCTCTTGGTTGCGAAATTATAATGACAGAAAGTCAGCAGAGTAGTCATCATAAAACGGATGGAAAAGTGATTACATGACAGCATTCAAAATTGGAAAACATCACTGGGCAGGTTCTACAGACAACATATAAATTCATTTACATGACGTTATCATCCTGCTAGGTGCCTAAAATACATGGGGTGGGGACTGAGGCACCCTTGCTTTTAATGGCACTCAATTTTGTGTTACTCTTGTAGCTACATCTATCTGTGACAGGTTCTTTTTTATTTTACCGATGGTTTTAATTTACCACCCAATACAATAACAGCAAGGTAAATGGAGATGTTTAAATTCCCCCTGCAAAACCAGAGGAGAGTCCAAGGCCTCGTTTTCCATAACAAAGCTTTGATGAGCCCTTGACAAGGAGATTATGCAACGGCTCCAGCGCGGTGGAATAGCTGGCGCTGGCATGCGAGAGCAGGAGGCTGCCAAAAGCCGCTGCATGGTTTGGCACCTACGGAGAGCCTGTCACTTTACTGATGTCCCTAATCTGACTGTCACTAAAAATAGTTCAGGTGGCTGCTTTCTGCTAGGGAAGAAATCAAGTCCCTTTGGACATTTCTGTTAGGAGGGAAGGGAACAGTTAGTGAATTGTAGTTTATTTTCTGCAGTTTGCAGTTAAGAGTATATAGGAGAGCTTTGGCGTTTGTTATAGTTTCTTGAAAAATACTGAAGCATCACAAAGAATGGAAGACTATACACTACGGAACCTGAAAATCCTGAACATAGTTTGCTTGTGAAATGGCATTTATGGCATGACTTTAAAATGACTTAAGTTTAAGCACACAGTTGTTTCTGTCTTAACACTAACTAATGCACTTTTTTTTACAGACAGCAGTCAGCTGAAGACCTTGCAAGAGTACCAGTTAATTCTACAAGCAATATCTTGAATAGGCTATTGCTCAGTTATGATCCCAGGATAAGGCCTAATTTCAAAGGTTTGTCAGATGTTTCAACATTTTTTTTAATTTTTGTAATTTAATTTTTGCTCTGTTCACACAGAAAATTTATATAGAGATAATATTCACATCCTAAATTTTTGTGGTTTTTTTTTTTAAATGGAAATTTCCCTAGATAGTGTGAAACTGCAGAATTTATTTACCCTTTTGAGCTGAAAGGTAATATGTTAGGATTTCATGATCATAATTCTATGTGATGCTTTATTATTATTATTATTTTATTTTTTTATAAAAGCTTTTTTAAAAGTATAATTAGATTTTGTAGAATAAGTTTTTAAAATGTATTTTTATCCCTACATTTTTTTTAGACATTAGTAGTATCTCCAGTTTACAGTATTTTAAAACACCAAATTTCTCTATAGAAATCCTTTAAGATGACTTTATAAAACTTGGGATCAGCAGTATCACTATCGGGAAACCATACAGTTATTAAACCCTTTGAATACATGTCAGTAATACAGACTTCACTCTTTGGGATTTCAAATAGGTAGTGAATTTAAACACATTCTCTGACTTTAAAACATCTCCCTGGTACTCGAATGTTGCAGGAATCTTCTGTGTAGGCAAATGTGGTTTCCTTACATATGCAGAAGAGGCTGGAATACATATTCTCTGCAAAACCTCTAATAACTCATACAGCTATAAGTTACACTTTCTAGGAATTAGATTATTTCCCTGCTGGAAAAAGACATGGACAATTTTATTACATTACAGACACTGCAGTTTACATGCATTGGTTTTTTCTTTTTAAAATTTATATTTATATGTACTTTAAGAGGTATTTTAACATGCGTATCAATAGTATGATAAATTTATTTTATTGTGCTTTTGAAGAGACCATTTGCAGATGTTCTGTTTAAGTTTTATAAATGTATAAAACTCAGTTTTCAGCAAGTGACCTGCTTTTTCCTTATTCTCCATAGAATCTTATTTGTATGTTTTCAACACTGAGCCTTGTCACAAAGAATAAATGTCCAGCGTCTGTTCCTCCAGCCTCTGTTCTACCTGTTCTTTAGCGTGATAAATCACAAAGCATATTGCAGATTTCTTTATGTTTTTGATAACCTTGCTGGCAGTCTGGTAAGAATCAAGATGGAAGAAAAAGGGAGGACATGCAATATTAGCTCACAGGGAGGTGGAAGAAAAAGAATGTTTTCTGACAAGTGGTTTGCCCATGTTAATGGATTCCTCACACATGAGTGGTTTTCTTGGACAGCACTTCCTATTCAAATCTGGAAGAGACAGTGCACTCTTGGCTACGAGTGGTGTGGTGGGTGCTCTGTCACACGCGTCAGGCGCTGAACAAAGTATTATGCTTCTTGCATAACCAAAAGCACCGCATTTAACTGGTCTGATTTTTTGAAAAAACAAACAAACTGGTTTAATTGAAAAAAAGTGAAATTTTATCGTAGTAATTTTCCGGTGAACCAAAAGAAAGAGTTTGAAGTTGTGTATTAAATGTACACTGAAATATTGTATGCAGACAAGCAAACTGTTAGATGAGACATACGTTAGTTTGTATTTGTTTACTTTTTCAAAATGGTCTTTATATATTGTTATATCTCGAATTGCTGAGAATAGGAAGAATTCCACTGAATTAAGTACTAGTAACAAACAGTGTAAAGGAGATCAGATACATGCATCTAGTGTACATACTGACACTCTCAACATGTAGGTGCTAAATAAAACCAGTGGACCATAATTAGTTCTCACAACCATCAGGCCACTTCTCCCTGCGTCGTGATAACTCTCCGTTAACACCCGATTAGATGACTGCCAATCAGTTCCCACAGGGTGACAGAGGGCAGATGCAGCAGCTGTCACACCATCCCTCTTCAACTACAGGAATCCTGGCTGTGGAAAAGAGGGAAAAATCCAGTTCATCTTAATATCTTCACAGCTACTGGCTTCTAGAAATTTTTCTTGGCAAATCGATGAACATTGTAAAATGGAGCAGCTTTCTCCTGCACCAAGGCTAGGTAGCTGTAAAAGCTGCATGCAACAATTTTTGTCTGCCTGTATTAATACTTCACAGTTAGGTACTTGCATTGCACAAAGAAGTATCCTCTTACAAGACAAATAAATATGTCATCATAAATCATAAACAGGTTATTTGGGATGGTAGATCATCGTTATGACCTTGACAGTGAAAAGTCTCCACTGCTAGAAATGTGAATTGCCTCTGTGCAGTACACTGCATGCAAAAGTACTGCTGGATTGTGCATTCTGTTAGAACAGAAAATCATGGAATTCGAAAATTATTCAAATTTATGATCTGTGAAATTCTTTTAAGCTTAGCTCTCTGGAATAAGGCTTTTTTTACCTGTTTTCTTATCGCTAGGTTGAAAAGAGTTTTTCTGATTTCTATTGGCTTTGAATGGGAACAGATTAAACCATAGCTTTTGAAATCTGTGTATATACTAACTTGAAAAGATAAAGTTGTATGACCCTATAAAAAAACATTTCACATTGTGATAGCAGGATAAAGGATCTTTAAAGGAAGGAAAACGTAACTTTACTGGATTGTGCAGTTCACTAGAAATCTTTTTTTTTTTTAAAAAGGAATTCCAGTCGATGTTGCAGTCAACATCTTCATTAACAGCTTTGGATCTATTCAAGAGACAACTATGGTAAGACTGAAATGAAATTAATATAGCACACATGGAGATTTTCTTATGAAATTAAATTTCAGGCTGAGGATTATGAACTATGAAGTAGAAATACTTGTTGTGATTCTAGACACTGATAATTGAGTTAATGGGTTTAGTGATAGACTGTCTGTGCTTTCTGTCATAAACCTATTAATCTGTTTCACTCTGTATTTGTCCACACATTGTCATAGCTTTTAGAATTTGAGGTACGTGAAAGGAAATCCATGGTTTCTAAGATGCAAGAAATACACATATTTCCATAACTTATTCAGTTCAGGGGAATTAAGTAATCTTCCTACGAGTTAAAATATAAATTGGTTGGTGTATTACAAAAGAAAATACTAGGACTGTATATGAAAGAAAAAGAACACGCGTGCGTAAGTCTGGAGCATACAGGTTCTCTGTTTTAATTACTTCTGAGGATAGGAGTAAATCGTGGAGGACTGGATGGAGAAAGAGTAAAGGTAGATCATCAATGACCATACTCTTAGTCCTGTTTATTTACTGTGTGAGGGAGAGAAACTGAGAAGTGAAGTTTCTAAAAATGTGTTTCGAGCTCAGTCACAAAATTTCAACATGTCAACCACAGCACTAAATAATCCTCATTACAATTTTGATGTTTTTTCTATAGGAAATAATATCAATTTCAAAATAAAAAGTCATTTCAGCAAAGCCATTCCAAATATTTTGGGACTTGAAGATCTTTTATGCAATGGTATTTCCAACAAATACCATCAAAAATATTGCAAAAGAATAGACATTTGATTGTTGAAGATATTCTGACTTGATTGGGGTTTTCCTTAATGTAAGAAAGGGGGTAGCACACCATGTCTTGCCAGTACATGGGAAGCCACAGCCAGGGCATGCACTCAGCATGGGAGTTCTGAGGTGCTTCCTGAGCATCCCGTTTAGAAATAACTTGGGTGATCTGCTCCATCCTAAACATTGAGGCAGTTCCCGAAACCAGGCAGCTCTGTTCAATGCCGTGTCTAGGGCAGCATTCCTACTTATAAAGGCATAGAAGCAGTAAACCATAATATGACTAATAAATAATAAACACCTTTTGTGGTCGGTGGAAGTAAGTACCCACTTCAAGTTCAGAACCATCTTATACAGTACCATAATGACATTGCTGTAGGACTGCAGAGCTGCTCAGAGTTAAATGTATGTGGTGGCTGAAGCAGCTTTTGAACAGCTTGGCCAGAAATATCGGTTTCTTCAACTAGGAGTGAATAAAGATTTAGATTTGATTGCAAAAGATAGTAAGTCAACTAATAGCATTAGTGGGAAGTGATATTAAAACAGAGAATGTAAGTATGCTGAAGATACCTCGAGATTTATTTCCTGAAAACAAAAAGGGAGCTGGATTTTAAAGAGGGGCAGGGAGGAAGAGCAGGAAAGTAGGAGTGAGATAAGTGTCCAAGATGGCAGGTATATTAGGCCAGATGGCCCTTTCAAGTTTCTAAAATTTATTACATGCTTTAAAAAGTGGCTTTTACAGAGGCTTTTTTTACAATTTACCCAGATCTAAATAGTAACAAAACATGAATGTAAGGAGTGTGCTCACCACCCCCCAAATTAAGTATGCCCTCCACAGCGATGTATGTATGCCTGCCTGTGAATTCCTGGTGTGCTCACCCACATATTTACTGGGATGTTCTGTAAGATAAGTCATGCTCTTCTCCATATTTTAGAACTTCAGACACCATACTTGCTTTAATATATGCTTTTGTTCAAATTTCTACATCCAGCTGATCACCATGATAGCTAAGTGTGTTTATGTGAAGTTTGGATTACTTCTTGGTTGCCTTAATGTATCACAGGAAGCACGGACAACAGAAACAATCTGTTCTTCCATGTATCACTTGGGAAACTCTTCCTACTGCAGTGGGCATTGGGTCCTGTGGACGTTGAGGAGCCACTGCACCTGTGGGGATAGCCTGGTACTTGTCTTCAGATGGTCTGAGTAATGCACCAGGCAGTAGAAGCAAGTCCCTTATAACAGGGAAAAGCTTGGAGAAGTGTTTCCTGGAGCTGAGGCCACGACTCTGTGGAGGACCAGAGGGACCTCTTGCATTCAGGAAGGAGAGACATTTGCAGGCAGTAACAGAACTGCTGAGAAAGGTTCCCCAGTGTTGGAGAGGAGAGTGGCTGTCAGCATCTCTACTGTCTCAGGCATTGGTGTGAATCGCCAGGAATATTGATTTCTTGTCTGTCTCTAGAGTTACCAGAAGCTACTAAACTGATTGGAGTGGTATCATTACCAATACCAAAATATGTGCAATAATGTGTTTCTAAGTATTTCAGTTGATGAAGTATCATAATGATTCTTAGGTCTGTAGCCGTTCCTGGCTGTAATGGCTGAATTCATAGGTTTTTGCAAAATCTGTGTGAGGGTGAAGCGTCCTGTTTTAGCTCTGCTGAGTAGAGATTACCTCCCACCGAAGTACAGTCTACCTAGTTTTTAAGAGAGAAAGGAATTTCTTTATAGAAAAGCATTGACAGGTTTGAAGCAATATTGGTTTGAAGCAAGATAGGACCCATAGTGTGGATCCTATGCCCAGAAACCCATATTGCTTTATTCAAGCGCTTGTGAGGAAACTGAAGGGCAAATGTTTGCTCTGTGTCTAGAAAGGATAGTGTTCATGTTGTGTTGTTGAATACTCGAGAGAATTGCGATGCTTTCACACATTTATCAAACATGTTACCTGGAAAAACTAAAAAAAAAAATCAGCTAACTACAGAGTGAATAAGAATTTGCACGGCTAAAACAGACAAGAGCTTATACCAGAGCTGCTGCCTTCCAGTAAATTCCCTTTGTCATGGATACTGTAACTTGTTTCCTTCTAGCTCATTAGACTACTTGTGTAGGATCCCCATGCTAACTCTGCTTCTGATTTTGCAGATATTTTTTTAGACTGCAGATTTGTGGGATAACATGGTGACTATGTCACATTTCGAAACTGTCATAGATTGGATGACCAGTCTAGGATTCCTAGGGATAGCTCCTTTCTGGTATAAATACCCACAGGGCTATAGTATTTTAGCTGTGCTGACGATCTCACCCTCTGTCTGTAGAATCTATATTTAAGGTTTGTACTTGCAGTGTAACCTTTGTTCACAGACTCAGATGGCAAAATATCAGTTCCTCCTTCTCCTTTGCTTTAAAACCTTTCAGAATGCTCTTTTTAATATTTACGTATAAAAAGGAAAATTCAGTTTCCTTACTTTAGTCTTAAAAATGCCATTTTCTACTTTATTAACAGATAGTGCTTTTATGCTTCCTTTCTTTGTATGAGTGCAGTTCATGTAGAAAAAGCTTTTCATGATCCTCTGTGTGCTCCAGTTTGCAGAAAGAGATGTATTGGCTATGCCTGGTTTCTGGCCTGAGGAGTTTTTCTGGCCACATGCCCACTGTTTAGTAGGTTGCATTTGAAATATTTCCTAGAATGCCTCCCCTTTCAACCTCCCTGAAAACAACTTGCCTTCTGTTGGAGTTTCATGGGAAAACAAAGCCCTGCAGAATACTTCTGTGATTCTTTTTACCTACCAGGTCCTCCTATTTCTAGTGCTGGTGAACATCTCTTCCAGTCCCCCCTAGTTTCAGGCTTTGAAATTGCTATTTGATTCTCCTTTATTATAAAATGCCACTCATTCTGCAATATTCAAAGAATGTTTGTAAAATGTATGGAAAGAAGGCCATGTGCTTCATGCAGACTACTTCTTCAACCCCTGTTGAACCGAATCATCGTTCATGTGCTCTTAAAATCCATTGGCCGAATTTGAGAGGACTGCTTGCAGACTTCTTTCAAAATAGATTTATACCAGGTCATAGTGTATACTGCTGCCAGATGCTATAATAGTTTATATTCTTCTGAAAAGAAGCCCTGCTGCACATCATCGTCTGGCTTGCCACAGTTTTGTATCCTGACATCTCTTTGCTTCCTGCTGCATTTTCTGTATTGCCTCAAGTATGTCGGTGGCCTTCCTCTCCAAGTACACTGTCACAAGTTTCTAGTCGTTTAGGTAGGTCTGAACCTACTTATTTTAGGTTAATGGGTTTTTTCTTCCATTGACTTAAATGGGAACAGAATCAACTATTTAAAATGTCACAACATCCCGTTGTTTGGTAATTTAAGTTCTTTTGTAGTTGAGCAAGGATCTTACTTCCAATTCTTATTTTGCCAGTGCATTCTACTTTTCAGTGATGTAAACATCTCCATCTTCTGAATGCGTAAGCTGAAGACAAGCATTGGACACTGTTTATCATTTGCCTATGGCTTTGAGAAGGCATTTTATTTTGTTAAAATTAGGGTAATGCACTTGTTTATGGGGAAATTAATTTTGGTGTAATGAATAGTGTAATGCTTGTGAGCATGAACGGTATGCAGTATTTATCTCATAGGGTGTAAAGTAATTGTTTTCACTGAGACAAGAAGTGCATATGGAATAGGAACTTCAGCAAGAAGCAAGTAAAGTAAATTTTCAATTACATGCATATAATTGAAAATATGCTTTCTAAGATAATGATCTGAATTCCCTCTTGTTCTGAAGCTTCTCTATGAGGGCCTTCCAGTAGAAAGTAATTTCATATCGACTACATTTTTATACTACTTCTTTACTTTGACAGGACAATATAGGTCTCTGTATAAATAAGAGTCAGACTATATACATTTTTTTCAAAAACGGACTGCCAACAAGTAACGTATCTCTCAGAACTATGCATATTAATAAATATTGCCTTGGTTCTTTCTAGTTAGTTTTGATGCTTTGCTTTTCCTTACAATGCAATACGGAAAAATATTACACAGTATAGTGTAATAAAGAAACACTTGGGCAGATCTCACTGGTGGACTGAGCATGGAAAAGTGGGCACTGTATTCAGATTAACAGAGCAAATCAACAGGGTGAATTATGCTGCATGAGGTCTTTGCCAAGTGAACTCCTTCCTGTTGGAGTTGGCATGACTATCTCAACATGGCACTTGCTTTGGACTGTAAATGTATACATTATAGTAAGTACAACATAAAAAAACTCACATTGTATTAACAGAAAAACATGTAAGAGGGTGTTAACATGTAAAATAAACAACTTCATAAAATTGGTTTGTTATGCAGAATACATTGACAAACCAAAAATACATTGAGAACCTTCACTCACAGATTTCTAGCATTTTGCTGTAAGTGTAAAGCAGTAGCAGTATTTTCACTGCTCTAAAAGACACAGCCCTTGTCTCAGGATGCTTTGTGCCTAATAAACAATTACGAAAAAATAAAATACACCATAGAAGACAACTAGGAAGACTGGAGATAGGACATATCTTACCTACAGAATTTTGTTTTGTTTTTGTTTTTGTTTTTTACTATATTTACTTTATTTCAAGCATTACTTGATCTTGTGGTCTGCCTAGTGTACATATACATAAAAAAGAGGCGCTGGCTTAAATGTAAATGTAAAAGGCAAAAAGACTGAGAGGTAAGACTGAAAAATTGCAGCTGACATACTGGGTCAGATTTTTCCTTTGGATGCACACAGCTTTCACTAAGGACAGAACACGTGCAGATATCGCTCTGCCCTGAGATACATGCTACTCCAATTCCCAAAGGCAAAATTACGTTGTCGCTGAGCATGGCTCTACTATTGTCCGTCCCTGAGCAAGAGTCCTGATGAATTCAGAGGGAAGTTTCCTCTGTGTAAAGTCTTGATTTTGTCTCTGAGCCCTACTCTGTTTCTGTGTTCATACGCGCTACCTCAGTACTTGTGTTGCAGGCTGGCACCAGTCTTCCTCAGTCACCAACATAGTCCCAAATCGTTGTTACAAGGTCTGAGGCTGTATTCTGGGGGTGTAGTGTAAAATCTGTGCTCTGCCTGGTCTTTTTTCTGCTTTTATAGTGTGATATTTTGATGTCGGTATGCCGCTTAGCCAATTTAGACTCACAGGATATCCTGAGAGAAGTGATATTCTGCCTGCTGCCTACAGCAACTCAGTGTAGCCAAGCTATGGCCTCCCTCTGTCCTGCTGCATGCTTTTCTCTGTGCCTAGGTAACAGAGGCCTGCTCTCAAGGAGACAGAAAAATGATCCTGGGGGACAATTTGGCCCTTTTTAAAAAAAATGTTACCACATTCATAACATGAGTGAGACATCATCTAGCAATTTGTAGTAAACTTAACACTTATCAATGTAATTTGAATAGTGATTACTATCTGTGATAGAAAAGTCAGGGCATAAATTGCTTTTCTCTTCAGTCTGGTAGAATGATTTTCTTTCTCTGTGTGTTTTTGGCTAGACTTTTAGCTCATCTAATATTTGTGTACTATTATTCCCATCAGGATTATAGAGTCAACATCTTTCTAAGACAGAAGTGGAATGACCCCAGACTCAAATTACCCAATGACTGGAGAGGTTCAGATACACTGACAGTGGACCCAACAATGTTTAAATGTCTTTGGAAGCCAGACTTATTCTTTGCAAATGAAAAAAATGCTAACTTCCATGATGTCACACAAGAAAATATCCTTCTTTTCATATTTCGGGATGGAGATGTCCTAGTCAGCATGAGGTATTTTGTTGATATATTTCTACTCATTTTTTAAATTACTTGATATGATATATATATATATATGTGCTTTGTCAGACTTAGCAATGTAATATAGTTTAATATTTAAATTTATATGACAGTTTGTAAGCAATACTACAATAAATTGTGTGTGAAGAAATCACATGAAGATGTTTTAAAGCATGTCAGTTGATAGCACAGCAAGTACTAGAAATTTGAAGTGCATGTGCGTTTCTATGTCACGTTAAGCTAACACATTAAGTAAACTAGTATTACTGGAAACAAATTTAAATCCTTTTGATAATTGCTTGGATCTCTGGAAGCATAATGAAATGGATATCTGAAGTAAATACTTCAGCAAAACCATAGAACTTGCACACTACTTGAATTTCTACACCAACTAAAGAAAATCGTGATAACTTACTAATGAAATAGGGAAAGGCAGAAATTACAAAATTTGTGAATATAAATGTTTTGTAAAAGTACTGGGACATAATCCTGATGAAGGTCTATTTCTTAATGGATATAGATTTTTTAGGAAGACCCAAAAATATGGAAAAAAAGTCATCCACTGGAAATAGCAAATTGGTTGATTTAAAAGGATCTCATAGTGAATTACAGATCTGGAGAGTTTGTAGACACAATGATTTGCAGAGATTGGGCTCAATTTCCTAACAGTGAGTGAGTTTTCTTCTGGTGTGAGATGGAACATATTGCCCTCATAGAGGAAAAAATGATTATCCGCATATACTACAACTTTACCATGAAGAGGGAACCACTTCTGAAATTACGGCCACTGAGCTATTTCTTCCTGGAGTAGAAGTGGCTAGAAAGAAGAAATAAGATGGGAGAGTCTGGGTTCTTTTTTGCCTATTCCAGATCAGAATGACAAAACTCAATCTCCAGACTTTTGCCAGCAGTGATCAGAAAAGAAAATATATTGGGCAATCAAAGCATTTTATTTGGCCACTCTGAAGGTCCTGGTTCTGACTGCAGTTGATTATGAGAAAATCACTTTCAGCTACAAAAGAAACTTCCCATTTGAAATAGCAAATGTTAGATGAAACATTGAAACTTTTTAAAAAATATTTTTCCAGGTTGCAGCTATTCGTAAATGAGCTTATTTCAGTCAATAGGTTAGGTTAGCGAATAGTGAATATTGAGTGAATACTAATAGAAGTGTTTCTAATGGAAAAATTCTTCTCTGAAAAATTCCAAATAACAAGACCAAATTCAATAAAGTTTGAAATTAATGTCGTGCTCTACGTATATTCTGCTGATTTTAATGATACAGTATGTTCATAAATGATATGTACGCAGATAAGATTAATTTTTTGAGCCACTGTGGTTTGGTGACATGCTACTAAGATTTTCATTTTTTTTTAAATCTGTAATTGCTATGCCTTATGTTTTTAGTTTACAGAGATATTATCACATATTAAAGAAAGAATCTCCAGTTATCAAAATACATGAATGACAAAATGCGTGTGAGGGAAAGCTCTTGCCTGCATAAATAGTTAAGAATTGAGAAACTGAATGTAGGAATAAACAGTAAGTGCTCACATAAGGGGAAGGAAGCAGTAAAGTCCCATAGAAAAGTCTCTTCCGGGTCCTGTGCTGTTCAACATAGATCATCTGGAAAATTGTGAACTGGCAAGTGGGTTTGGTGATGCCAAAATATTCAGGATAGTAAAGATAAGAGACAACAGTGAGAATTACAGATTAATGTAATGACTAGGCATCAAAATATAACATGAAATTCAATTTAAATAACTGAAAATGATGCACGTGGGAAAAAAATATTTTAACTTTATAGAAAAACTGATTGGTTTGAGGTGGTTATTACCAGCTAGGAAAACACCTTTTGGGTAATAATAGCTAGTTCTCTGAAAATGTCAGCTAATAGCTCAGTACTGATTGAGAAAGTGAAATGAATTCTAGGAAGTATTAGGGATTAAAGAGAATGTCATGCCACTGTGTAAATTCATGCTATCCTTGCATCTTGAATACAAGGTGCAGTTCTGGTCTTCCCACTGCAAGAAGGGAGGCAAGGATGGTCAAAAGTAGAGACCAGCATCCTGTATAAAGAACAGCTAAGCAAGCCAGAACTTTTCACAATGGAAAAAACAAGATAATTGAGGTGGTGGCATAGAGCCCTCTAAATAATGAGAATGGATGGACATTGATTTTTCTCCTTCTTTTCCAGTGAGAGAACTATGAGGCAGGCTCAAGATAGATTAAAGGAGATTGTTAGAGCGTGTGCAGCTTAGCTATGGCATTCCTTGCTGCAGGATGCTATGCATGATTAAAGTTTATACAGATTCCAGAAAGGAACTGGAAGCAAAGCAACTTCTTGGAGGCAAAAAAAATCTGTTGATGTCCCTTGAATACTGAAACATTACTTCTAGTTTGGGAAGTCCTTGAGGTGCAACTTTCAAGAGGCTGCTAGATAATCTAGAAAAAAAAAATTCCTGATTGCTGTAGTCTCATATTTGCCTTCAGGAGTCTGCCACTGGCCACTGCTGGGGATAGGACTCGATTCTGTATGGACCTTTGGTTTGGTTAGTCTTCTGATCTATATGTATTTTGTTGTGTATTAGTAGGTCTCTAATTTGTGAACTACTGTATCTTTAAAACTCTCTGTAAAATTTTTTTCTCAGACTACTAGAGATAGCTAAATTTCAATCTACTACTTATTATAACTTTAATTTTTTCTGCTATTTTAGAAGCTGAAAATCTAATACCTATGATTTTTTTCTTATTGCAGTCTACTGTTTTTAAATTCCATTTCTGTATTTTCAGGTTGTCTATTACTCTGTCATGCCCTTTGGACTTGACCTTGTTTCCTATGGATACACAGCGCTGCAAGATGCAACTGGAAAGCTGTATGTACATCAGTTTGTGCATAAAACCAGTTGCCTTCTAGGCATGCCCAAGAATCAAATGAAAAATGATGAATTCTGCATGGTTCATGTCGACATTTTTAATGAATCTTGAAATTAATATTGACTGGTTCCTACCAACATACACTTCCCTATCAAAAAGTTTCTTACAGTTGTGGCACCATGCACTCTGTTCATAGTTTTTGCTATCAAACATAATGACAACTGATGAGTTTTATAAAAACATTTACAATAAACTTTGTAAAATGGAAACACATATAATTTGGAAAAAAGAATCCATGCTTTCCCCAGGCAACTTTAACTCCCACAACCTTTGCTGTTTTGTCGGTTGTTGGGATCCAGTTGATCCCATTGCACTGATGGCGCATGGTATTGTTTCAATCTCTTTTGATACGGTAACAGAGGAAGAGTATTTGGTGCTAATACATTAAAAGCATTTAGTATGAAACTTTTTTTGTTTGTTTTTAGTATGAAAGGAAGGTGGCTTGCTCTGTTCCTGCCATAATACAAAAAACTTTATTCGGTTGTTACTCCACTGGGTGTGGTGAGGAAGGTGGGGTTAGGGAAGGGGAGACCGAAGCGAAGAAAGAGTAAGGTTAATCAAGGCTGAGCAGGGCATCCCGGTAGGGGCAAGGATAATAATGATAATCATATCAGAGCATTATAATTTAGTGTTTTTTTGCCAGTGATTACCTTTAGAATTGTAGTATGTCCGTAGTAGTTTTGCCCATCACTAATACGTATATACATAAGCTGAAGCAAACTCTTAGGGTAAACCCAGATCAGTTTGGGGTTAATCTGGAATTAAGCAGTAATATTAATGGAAGTTTGCTCAAGCTTTCTCAGTCTGGATTGCTTTACACACATTGCAAAGTATAGTTATTCAAGGAAGAACTACTCATAAAAAATTTTTCAATAACTTTATTTAAATAACCTTATTGTCTCTCCATGATAAGTAGGTATATTCAAATTCAGGGGGAAATTGCTCCTTTGTAAAGACAGTGTGTGCTAAACTTTCTTCTACATTTTAATTCACTTGGCAAAAGTGAGAATGATACCCACGGCTCTGTCTGTCCCTCCAGTTCCAACAGTCGGCTTGCTTTCACTGTCAGCCATTGGCAGTTTTAGTCAAAGATATTTTTAAATCAATATTTTGTTTCTAGTTACTAGACTTCCAAACCAAAACAGGCCACCGTTTTTTACTAAGCTGTTCTCGTATCTGCAGTTATGATCCCCATCTCTACACATTCCCTGTAGACAAAGTTTTCACTGTCCAGTAATTGTTATCTTAAAGGATCTGGGCAGTTTTGTGATTTGCTGTATGTATCAGTTAGCTTATGAACAGTTCACCTTTTTAATCACAGCTGTTTTTTAAAGATGTGAAAAAATCTGTCTAAAGCCTTCAGAAAAAGAACAGTTCTTTAAACATTTTTCAGAGGCTTTGAATTATGCAACATTGCATTCCAGCTCCATCTTTTTTATGTTTCCCCATCTCTGTTCCCATATAACACACATTATCTCTGTTTGAATTAAATTAATCCTCGATAAACAGAAGGTAGCAGAAAAATGGCATGTAAATTCATGATTATGACTGCACATTTAATTGTTGTTGCTTTATGATTTAATATTGTGAGCCTAACTTTTGCTGCTTCTCATTTGGTGGTGTTGTGTATATCATGATTTAGACAGGTATATACTGAAGTCTGTCTGTGCTCAGGAGATCAGGAAGGCACTGGATTGGTTTCAGTAGGACTACACATCTACTTAAATTCCTGGTCAAGTATTTCCTGAATGTCAGTGCTCTTGTGTATCAAGGCCTTTAATCTGAACAACTAAGCAGAAAGGTTGTTTTACACAAAAGCCAAGATTCATCACCATAATTGAGTTGTTAAATACTTTTGAAGTTACTAAGACTTGTGAGTGCTGTTAAAGTTCAGTATATTTTCATGCTTTGCTGAAGTAGAGTATGAATGAATATGGAGGCTTCAAAGCTGTGGGGAACAGAGCTTTGCTTGCTTTGTTTAAACAGTAAGCACTGTAACAAACACCTCTTCAACAGTGCAGTATTGCTGATAATGCAATGCTCCACCCACCAAGTCCTAATTTAGGCCTACATAAAAATTCGGTTATGGATTATTTCATTTTTGTATTTAGTTCTTTGAACGGGAAATAGAAAGAAAGAGTGAAAGAAATACGATATATATATGCTAGATTTTCTTGCACAGTTTACTCTGATTGCGATGGTTGTTTAAATGCTTATTATTATTTTGTTCTCGTAGTTGGTTACACAACTGATGACTTACGGTTTATCTGGCAGTCTGGAGATCCTGTACAGCTAGAGAAAATTGCTCTGCCTCAGTTTGATATTAAAAAGGAGGATATTGAATATGGTAACTGTACCAAGTATTATAAAGGCACAGGTAGGTAATACAAGCGACTTTCTTAGTAAAAAACTTTAAGCTTCCTTCAATTACTGTTTAAGTTTAATGGTTAATATGCCACTTCATGTCTTGCATTTTGGGGGAGAAAACAGATAACGTTTAACAAACCAGTAGTTCATATAACATTAACTACCACATGTAATTACTGCAAACTGATTCAAATTTGGAAACATCCAGGCTGAATATGAGATGAAATGTTTTTAGTGGTTTTGCTTTCATGTCTTCTGATGTTACTGTTTTGTTTCTATAGTGCTAATACATTTTTATGTTTGTAAATGCTTATCTTATCTGATAGGATGTTCATGTAGAATTATGCCAGTTGCAGCAAAGTAGGATAATTTTGGTTTGCTGGTTCAGCTTTTGTTCCAGAAGTGACTAGTATCAGAGTGTATCTTCAAATGCTTCACCCTGCAGGTTCTTCCTTTCTCTAAATGTTCTAGAAAGTCTGTCATTACAGAAAGCTGCTTACACTCCTCAGCCCTGTAGTTATTCAATCCTATGATTATTTTCTGAGTGTGGGCACAGATTTATCCAATGGTTTCTGTAGTCTGGCTTCTAATGGTTTATCTTTTTTACCTAGATTGGTTCTTGCCTGTAATTATATCCAAACTACTCACATACTGTGGTAACGGCAAGACTTTCTACAACAACAGAAGTCAGCAGGGCGTATTTTAGTCAGTGCGCTTGCATTATCTGAATAAATCTCCCATTAAAACTCAGTGAGGGTGGCTGTGGTTCTGCAGCTTCTGAGGATCCTCAGATCAGAACTGAACAAGTTTCTTATTGACTATTCAGCTGAAGTCAAGGGTCTGTCACTTGCAGTTGCTCCTGAACTAGGTTCCAAGTCTGAAGAGATCTCAGGTAACCGTAGTAGATCTCAGAGTTAAGGAATTTATCTTGAAAGAGGTAATAGAAATTGAAATGAGGTTTGGTTTTTAACGGCAAAATGAGTGAGTTCTTAGCCTAACGATGTAATTCAGTGTCTTGGTTTTGACTGGGAGAGAGTTAATTTTCCTCCCAGTAGCTGCTGTGTTTTGGATTTAGTGCGAGAAGAACATTGATAACACTGGTGGTTTTAGTTGTTACTAAGAAATCAAGGACTTTTTCCAGTCTCCCATATTCAGCTAATGAGCAGGTGTGCAGGAGCTGGGAGAAAGCACAGCCAGACAGATAGCTCCAGCTGGCCAGTGGAAATGTTCCATGCCATGGATGGCATCCTCAGTTTATGAATGGGAGCTATTATGAAAAGAGCTATCGGCTCTTCTTGGTTTCCAGGAGGTTTTTTTGAATTCTTTCTTGGCCAGGAGTTTGAACTTTTTTTTTTGGGCTGCGAATCAGTTGTCAGGGGGTGAGAGAAATCTATTGTATATGGGTTTTTTGCATATTCATTAATCTCATTATTATTATCAGCAGTAGTAGCATTAATATTAGTATTTCCTTTGTTGCCTTATTAAACTGCCTTTATCTTAACCCACAAGTTTTCGCTGTCATCCATTTCTCTGCCCCATCCCGCTGTGGGGAAAGGCGGGGGAGGTGAACGAGCGGCTGTCTAGTGCGTAGCTGCCGGCTGCCAGGTTAAACTACGACATTCAGTATCTCAGGTGATTCACCTTTTGTAAATAATATGAAATTAGCTTCCCTCAGGAAAATTCTGCATTTGTGAGAGCATAGCCAACTGACAGTGATTGCATTCAATCTAAGTGTGGATATGGTAGAAGCTTACTTAGCAGTGAAAAAAATATTTTATTCTTAATGAAACAATGAATTCACTGAAAAAAATAAGCTCTAGAGTAGTGAAAAATTAAAGGGGTAGAACTTGAGATTCCCAAATAAAATTCATACAAATTGGAAAATTGGAAGACTTGCATTCTATTTGAGGGAAAAAGGAAATACTTACTCGAGATTGATATCTTATTATTGAAGTTATCATGATAATTTTGAGTTTTGCCCTAAATCTAAAATTAAACATCTAAAAAATCTTCAGACATTTTATGTATTTTTATGAACCTTAAAGAAAAATCTAAGAATTGTATGCTTTACCATTAATTAGAAAAGAAAATCAGTAGTGTTCTCTCAAGTTTCAGCACCTTGTGACCACAAGTTGAAATGACACTGTGGAAAGTGGTCAGAAAAATGGTCACATTTTGTGTGTGTGTATGAGTTTGGAACATTAAAGAAAGAACATTAGAGAATGGTCAAAGTAGGTGCAAATCCTTTTTGTTTGAAAATTAAGAACATCCGTGTTAATCTCTTAATCAGGACAGGAACTAATATTTCATTAATGTGAATGGAATATTTTAGTACTCTCAAGTACTTTTAAAGTTTGTTTTCAGTAATCAGTAGTTGTTTGATTGACTTTAAAGATTTTCCACATGTGGTTAAAATTAATTCAGTTAAGGATTTGTCAGATAATCAAGAGGCAGTGTTGCATGTACAAGTGAATTTTCAAAATTAAAGGCTTATGTAGGAGATTCTTGCCAGTTGCGAAAAACTTAGTCTTTACTGCCTGTTTACGTCAACTGATGTTTTATCATACCTACTTAAGGAGAAAAAGGGTCCACAAATTTGGGGTGACTTTTTGTGGCAATAAATTTAATATTTAAATTTGCAAATTGTCTACTCTTTGTTTATCAGAATGTAGGACAGATCCAAAGAGGTCCTCGCGAGCTGAAGGGTGAGGGCAATAGATAGTATTCTCTGCTTGATGAAAGATGATACAAAACCACACATAATGCATTTCTGTCATAAAGCAAAAAATAATGATTTTGAAGGTAATTTGAAAATAAAACCTAAAAGTATCTGGAAACTACTCAGAAATTATTGCGAGGAAATTTGTCTGACAACAGATCATGGAAGAGCAACTGTGGAATACCTTATAGTGTCTTCTACACAAGGAAATTTTTCCTTAATGTGTTATTGTTTTGTTGGTTTGGTTATTGCATGCCCAAATAGCACTTTTAAGATGGCTTATTGTTCTATGACACGTAATTGATCAAACGGAGAAGATAAAAATGTATATTTTTGACAGTTTCTATCTTGTAAATCAGCTTTGCATCAACTTTATTTATAGATATAACCTGATCTGAATTTTGAAATTGTTGTAGTGTAACATAGACATGCCTTTTCCTTGTGATAGAATAGTTTATGAAGTTGTTTTTACAAAGCATTTGTGTTAGTATTAACATAAAAATGCCAGTTCTGCTAACTGAGTGAAAACATGAACAGAATTTGTTTTCTGGTTGTTGGACTTCCTGATCCATCTCCTGTCTCCAGCAAAACCTCTAGTATCTGCAGCTTTATTTTTTATTGAATTCATCTTAACAGATATCTTAAATGTTTGGGTGACTTACATCCTCATTTTAAAATATTTGTGGCTGTATTCCTTGTTTTCAAAATTTACTGAGTTTTTAGAGTCTTTTCTAAGAAGTCTGTAACCAATTATAGAAGTCACCTGTACCATCTTTCAGTACTAGGGGAACCTCTGCTTAGTGTCACATTCAGATCACCTCTTTCCATTCTAAACTTCCTACGCTAATATTTCTTAACTCCATCCTTTTCACAAAGGAATGCTAAATAGGATTTTCAGATGAGCTTAAGCTAGTATGACTGCTAGAACACATTGGTTTTATCTGGACTGCATCTTGAAGCCAGCATCAAGATGGGGGTCACTTGAATTGCCCGTTACTGATGCGCTGTGAAAAGACGGAGGGTGCCTTACAGAGCACAGAGAGTACCACATGCCCGGCCATGCTTGGCAGTTATATTGCTCTGTGTTTTGAACAGTTTTTTTCCGAACTGAACTCTTTGCCTTTTTATAAAGAAAATCTTATCATTGAACTTTTGCTCTTAACTAGAAAAAGGCCTAGAAGATACAGATCTGAAGAGGTTGACCTGCAAAGCACATTAAACATTAATGCATTTATTTTTTTAAAGGTTATTACACTTGTGTAGAAGTAATCTTCACTTTAAGAAGACAAGTTGGATTTTACATGATGGGTGTTTATGCTCCTACACTGCTAATTGTTGTTCTATCCTGGCTGTCATTTTGGATCAATCCTGATGCAAGTGCTGCGAGAGTCCCACTGGGTAACCTGCGCGTACACGTACCATCACAATCCACTTTAATGCCATTGAGCCATTCTCAGTTGCTTTGACAACATGACACTGGACACTGAAAGCAACTTCATTTCCATCGTCTGCTGATCATTTTCACTGAAACCTGCTCATCCCTAGTCCTGTAAAATCCACCTCCGCATTTAGGCTTTGCTTGATAATGGTTCCAGCACTTACAAGCACACTGTCTGTGCGTCTCTCAGCCCAGACAAAGATGATATTATCCATGTACAGGTGATGCTGCAGACACTGTGGCAATGTGCAGTTTAGAGGAATTTGAACATCTGAATAATCAGTAAGAAAGCAGAAAGATGAGTAAGGTTGTAAATAACTACCTCTTGGAGCAGTTTTTCTGAAGAGTAATAGAAACAGAATGATATCTGGAAGAGAATTAGCATCCTTGTTACCTGATTGGTTTTATTTCATTAGAGACTCAGTTCATGAGAGTACTTCAGGCCCATGCTTTCATGCTGCTTAGTACAACGCAGTAGGCAGGCTCTTCGTTTATTATGAGTTAGTAGGACATCGAGTTAATCAAAACAATATTATCTTGACGAATTGGATTGTACATGGGACTCCAGCTCTGGGGTGGCCAAACCTGCTGACCCCAAGAGCTCAATGAAATGCAGAGCCAGGCTCTTGCATCCTGACACTTCTCCCATCTGGATTCCTGTCCCCATGCCACGACCTCTCCTTCCCCATGCTCTAGCCTCCCCATACACCCCTTTTCACTGGCACTCCTCCACAAGTCCATACCCCTTATTTTCTAAACTTTTTCCGTGTCCCAGGATGTTTATGGCATCTGTTTTCAAGACCCCGTGAGTGCAGCTACAGAATCCCTCCAGCACCCTGCCTTCCTCAAAAACCTCTCACCCGCACTTGAACCTCCACATCCCCACACGACGTGAGCCCTGTACAGCCTCACGTGCGTCGAGAAGCGCTGGAGACCCTTCGCGTCAGGGCCGGCCACATCACCTTACTAGTCCGTGTCTGTGATCAGCAGGGTCTTACAGTAGTGGGCAGCTGAAACCCCTGTGTTACGAGCCAGCTGGAGTGGGAAGGGGGCCTGCTGAGTTTTGTTAGGTGGAGAAGTGTCCACATACCCCCTGGCTGGAGCCCCACTGCTCCCGTCTCAAGTCATCTACCATGCCTTTTCCTCCTCCAGTGATATGACAGCCAAAATGAACCACGAGCTGTGAAAAAACTGGAGAACCATGATCAGAGTGCTACGTTTGGCTTCTGAGTCAGTGTTGGCTACCTTGCTCTAATTAAACATAACAAAAACAGTATTATGTTTACTGTCTCTTTTTTCTAAGGGTCTGTTTCAGAATATAAATCAGCTTTATTCTTCTTGACCTTTAAAAATATTAATAGTTACTTGGGGAGGAGTCACAATCTGTATCAGTTGGATAGCAAGTAACAAATATAATCTTTTGCCTTGAAAAGCAGCAAGGATGCATTCCATAATGCACAACAGAAGACAGTCTAAGAAAAAACAGTGTGGGGAAAACGTAGCATGCCTTAACTTAAAAAGATAGAAACAAGAACTGGAAATATTTTTATGTAGTGAGCACCAATGGGATCAAAACCTGAGCTGTATTTCTTGTTTCATAATCCTGCACTTCAAATAGCTGACCAGACGGCCCTATTATTTATGTATTAGATTTATAAGAGATGTAGTGCTGATTTATGTAACATGGATGTCTTGCTTTATGACTAAACATGCATACTTATTTATTGTTTATTTGTTTTCATATATTATAAGTGTTTATTGGCTCCTTTTATGTATTAGCATTTCTAAAATAATGCATTTTTAAAGATAAGAACCATTGACCTAGTTATGTGACATTTCCTGACTCCCCAGCAAAGCAAAACCTGCTAAATCTGACCATCCTTTAGCGACGAGTCAGTATTTGGTAGCACAAGTTGATAGCACTGTCACTGGGGTAAGTTTTATGTTTCTCCAGTTTGAAAGGCAGCGACAAACTAACTATTCTAGCTACATCCTTGAAGACAGTTGACCTTGAAATCTAACAAGATTAATACTTCTGTGTCAAGTGGATGATACCTGATCCCCAAAAAGCATTACCAATGGCCACTACACTCTCAATGGCTAGATACAGATCACATCAGATGAGAAGCTACTTCAGATTTACTTAAAAATATCTTAATACAGTTATCCTTAGAATTATATATAGTGGCCTACTGCACCCCGTGGCTAGGCATCTCAGAAGTTTCCAGGTGATTTAGGAATAAAAGATACTTTGCAAGCCAGCTAGCAGAATATGTATCTGTAGGCTGATTAATGTTCTAGGAGAAGGATGTACATTTGTTTGAAGAAAAAGCCTTTGTCCATGTAGGAACTAAATAAGTTGCAAGCCCTGTAACATTTCATCCAGTTAGATCATCTGGTGGTAGGGAATTCCACAAAGGACTGGTACCTGGACCGCTGTGGCTAAGCGACATAAAGGCTGATATCCCTGCATGCTTCTTTCTAATTAGACACTGGTGTTTCACCTTTTAATGAGCCCAACAGAGGACTCTCCAGTTCTTTACAGGTGGACATTGTGCCAGTATCTGTTTGAAAAATTCATATCTTTCCTTCACTGCTGTGTGATTCCCAAAGAGAAAAAGATCTTCCCTGGAGCTGTAGGGATCAGACTTCTGTCCACCCGCAGCAGCCTGACAGCACAGAGCATTGGTCCTGAGTGCAGGTGGGGGTACAACAGGGTTGCTGAAGGCTTGGAGCAGCGATGATAGGTTCCACACGTACAAGGGGCAGCTAGATCTGAGGCCAGGCATGCCCCTGCCCCATCACTCCTGTCCTCAGATCTGTCTCAGTTCTAGTCATTTAATTTTATAAAATTGTAACAAACGTAGGGTCTCAGAGGAAGACATAAAGATATATGTTAGAACTGTGGTATGAAGAAGGATTGGCAAAGAGTATATCTTTTATTTGATGGAGTTTAATGAGAGAAGAGAATGTATTAGAGATATCAAATTATAAGGAAAGGAAGACAGAATATTACCTATTTTCAATAACATAAATGAGATGAAGCCAGACATTTTGAAAGCAGTAATATAAACCAGAAAATACTGTTTTGTACAGCATATAATTAACCTGTGGAATTCACTGCTAGAAGATAGTGCTGAGGCCAGTAAGTTTTGATGGATTCAATAAAGGGAGATATATTTATCTGGCAGCACATGCTGAAGTGCTTTGCTGACACTTTCTGATATTATCCATATGTAACCTTAGGCAATATTTTTTAAAAAGTAGCTCTGTACAGTCAAAGGGCCGGGAGCTAACTAGCCTTACTGATAAGCTGAACTTTGCCATCAAGAGGGATACCACAGTAGGAGTAAAAATGCAGGGGTATTTCCTAGAAAGGCCAACTTTCCCTTTACTTTGCAAGTGTAGAGGAAGGAGCTCTGTCCCTGTCTTTAGTGCTCCCTGAGAAGAAAACAGGGATTTTTTGCTCCCTTTTTGTTTTTTTTAGTAAGTAATCTTACAGTTTATTTATTCATTCTCCTCACTTGGTTTGAGCCCTGGGCTTTGGACCGTGTTAGGTAGGTACCTAGTGCTGCTGCTGCCAGAGATGCGGCTTACAACTCTGGTACTAGGGTCTCCAAGGCCATGCCAACTCTGATATGGCAGAAAATTGTTGCTTAATGGAATATTCCTGTGCTTCTGTCTCACTTTGTTGTTACCTTGAAAGTCTAGAAATTTCTCGGGCTCTAAGAATGAAATTTTCATCCTAGGAATCCAAGCAAATGGAAATTAGAGGCAGGTCACGATGACCTCAATTGCTCTACTGAAAAAAATGATGAAAGCTTCACTAAAATCTTTTCAGCTAGTAGTTAGTGAATTAGTTTTATAGAATTAAATCCAAGATTGTAAGATGTAGTACTTTAAACTCTACAAAGTGGTTGTACAAATGTTTTAAGCAGCAGGCATGAGAATACTCACATATTAAGATTATTAACTTTTTTAAAGTTAGTAGGAAAAAAATTACAATATCCAAGGTGTTGAGCCAGTCCATATCGTTGGCTAATTTTGATTATTCAGGGTAAAGGTAGAGGCTGCCTTTCAGAAGTTTAGCATAGACCCAGTGTGATACTTGGTACAATAGACTGTTACAGAATGAACAGAAAGCTGGGCGTAGGCAGAGGTGTCCTTTATATACTGGGAGGCAATACAGCCTTATTTGTACTTGTTATTGCTGTTCGTTATGATCCATAATTAGTGTTCAGCCCAAGACAGCTGGTGTTGGTAAGTGAAAATACATTTATAAAAAGGGAGACTATTCTGTGCTGACTTTCTGTCCTTATGGGCATGTTTGTACTTGAATGCTTCAGATACAGTAGATCGAAAATAAGCTGGAGTGGACACTGAGGTTTGTTTATTCAGTATTTGCCATGTCATTATGATCTCACATAGCACATCTGACCATTCTGTATTATCTCAGTGGACAAAAAAAAACAGTTTTGCAATGATACGTTGTTATTGCACATTTGAAAATAAAATACTGTAAGATCCTGTATTTTAAAATTGTATCATGTAATGATTTCTTTACAGTTTCTCCTCAGTGTTTTGGCAGCTAGTAAGTTGCCCATTTGAGATTAATACCAAATAAGTTATCATATCAATCTTACTGAAATCCAAATGGGAACAGCAGCAAATTAACAAGTTCTTATTTACGATCAACTAGAATTTAATACTTTCATAGGTCAATAAACTTTCAGTTTTATTAACATTTTCACATCCTCAGTTACTTAAAATGGATCTGAAGAAAATGATCTCTCTATGAATTAAAATTTTTTTCATGCTTTGAATAGCACACATGAGCAATATAAGAAACATAGTTAAGACTAGCTGAGTATCTCCTTCAAGCCAACATTTTCTAGGGTCATCAATTACGTTTTATGAAGTCACCCGCTCATAACCAAAGAAGATATTTATTGCTAGGGTTCACAAAGCCAAAATGGGACATTCTGAACTGGGGAGGGTGAAATAAGCTTGATGGCACATGACAGCCATTTCTAAAGTTAGCTTTTTCCAAATGTAGCTGTTCACGCTACTTTGGCCGTTTCATAGGAGCCTCTTTGAGATCAGGCTTGTATTTAGTCTCTTGCAATGTGAGCCCTGTGTTGATGGTGACATTTGGAAGCCTTGTGAGGAGCACTGCTTGTTGAAACAGAGTCTGACGATGAGTGTGACCTTTCAACAGCCTCTGCAGATGTATTTTTTTTCATGATAAGGGCTTCCTGGAAAGCCTTTTATCTAGAAAGCTTCCTCTAGATCATGGAAGCTGAAACAGGGAATGATTGCGGACCCTCAGTCACCTCAGTGTTTCCATCTTCACAGTGAATTGGGAACACAGGCTTTTTAATGTGCTGGTACAGTTTTGCTCTTTAGCAGAAACTTCCCTTTCACCAAAGATTTGTGTATCACACTTGTGGATGGGTCATTCAGAGCATTGCCCCTGCTGTAGCACAATTCAGATTTCTGGGACAACGGTAGCTCTTCACGTCTAATTTAAAGGACTTGGAGTCTTTCGATTGAAGTATCATATATTCCTCTTCCATCTTGCCAGACATAGATGCACATTACAGGATAAGTCTCCGGAAGGCCCATGTCCCAGTTCTGTGATGTGTGATGAAGCAGAAAAACCACAGCAACCAGTTTAGCCTCACTTACTTCTTTATCCATTTATAAAATGAAGGTACGCATTGTTAATAACTCATCACTAACTGCAATATCCTACATGAGTATTCCATGTAACTTGTTCATTAACTGAAGGCATGTTCACTTTGTCTACCTGCTGCAAAATACACTGACTGCATTGTGAAGTCCCATTCGCTGTTGCAAAACATCACTTGGTGTTGTCTGGTTCAGAGGAAGAGCACAGCCAGTGTCAGTAAGGGTAAGTTTTCTTTAACCAATATATTGTTTTTCTTTCTGTAGGTATTTTCTCAGTGCTCAGCTTGGCATCTGAATGTACCACTCTCGCCGCTGAACTTCCCAAAGTGTCTTACGTGAAGGCCTTAGATGTCTGGCTGATTGTTTGCCTTCTCTTTGGGTTTGCATCGCTGGTGGAGTATGCGGTGGTTCAGGTAATGCTAAACAATCCCAAGAGAATTGAAGCCGAAAAAGCAAAGATTGCCAAGGCGGAGCAAGCAGAAGGGAAGGGTGGAAATGCTGCTAAGAAGAACACTGTGAATGGCACAGGGACTCCGGTCCACATCAGCACTTTACAGGTAGGAGCTGCGAATCTGCATATACAAAATCAGCATTGTCCTCTGTTAATACAACGCCAGGAATATAGCATCATAACAGTTTTGGATAGTGCTTAGTCTCAGCAGTGGCCAAGACATCAAAAACACGCTGGTAATTAATGGCTAGCAATCTGACCAATTGGTCCCTAGTGATTTGGGGTCAGAGGTATTAAGTGAAAAATTTGTCTTTTAATACCCTAGCACCATAGTTGCTGCCGAGCTTCAGGTAAACAAAGTAGCAAGCAGCTTTACAGTTGCTATTTTTCTCCTAACAAATAGCAGCTGTCAAGCCGTAACTATCCAGAGGACAGGACCCTCAGTCAGTATTTGCTGAGAGTGTACTCAAATAACACCCATCTCATTGCTTTCCTCGGGATGGCCACAGCTGCACCCTGTTGCATGTCAAGTATCTCTGAAGCCAGGGATCCAGAAGTCTTGGCATTTGTAAACAAAAGACAGGTCTGTTTGTCTGTCAAACAGATCCTGCAATTCTTGTGTTGCCAGATAGTTCATGGGTAAATTGGTCAGATCTCATTATGTGGATGAAGATGAGGTGTCCATTTGCGTTCAGGCCAAAGTTTTCCATCACGATGGTAGATTCCTGGTGTTGTACAACTCCCCCTTTGTTCTCCAAGAGTTACGAGACATCCCAGGCCAACTGCCCTCAGTCCTGAGTGATATTTAAATAGTGACATTTAAATCACAGAAGAACATATGTTATGCTACAATATATGGAATACAAATTTGGCTTGCAGTTTTCAAAGACTCAGCAATTTATATGTGTAAATTAAAGCTATTAGGCCAGATCCAAGCAGTGATATCAGTAGCATACAATGTGACTGTAAAGCTTCTTTAAGAAGGGAGCAGCTTACGCCAGAACGGCAGAAACCCTGTCCTAGTATCAAGCTGGCATTGCCTCATAACTATTTACCCCCAGTCCAGAAGAGCTGCAGCTATCACAGAGTGGTGCGCTTGACTACCATAATTCTCACCCGGTAGAAGAGTCTCCTGGGAACTGTTTTGGCAGGCAACCAGGCTCAGCTTAGAGCAACCCTTCATCTGCTTTGACTTGTGTCACAAGTACATCCCCAAGTCCAGGCAACATGAGAACTGAGTAGAAGGAACGACGGCTCCGCTACAGTTTTGCTTCCCCTGAACTGTCTGTGATATTTTGGTATTCAGCAATTTGCGGGTCCCAAATTCAGATGTTTCTTGTGACAAAATAGTTGCAACAGTCCAGCAAAGCAGCATAAAATCTATTTATTCCTATTTATTTCAAGTACTTAAGAACTGTAAGTGTATAGATTGAACAATGACAAGATTAACAAAAGAACTGAAGTTTTTCAGTATGTGTACAAAACCAAACTGCTAAATTACTGACTCTCCTTGGTGTGTACACCCTTTAAGGTGCTTGGCATTGTCGTAGCCATAAGGAGAATAAAATGGTAACTTTTACCACCTGTGCTATCCTTTCATCTTTTAATAATTTTTTCAGGAAGGCAAGTTTGGATGTACAGTGCATTTTAGAACTTAGAGGAAGGGGAGTCGTTGTCCACAAAAATTCAGCAACATTGCCCATCAGTGGTGTCCAGCAGTAGGCTGAATGTTTTTAGGATTCAGATCTCAGTCTGTCCTCCAAGATCTTCACAGAATCACAGAATCACAGAATGTTGGGCGTTGGAAGGGACCTCTGTGGGTCATCTAGTCCAACCCTCCTTCCGAAGCAGGGTCACCTACAGCAGGCTGCACAGGACTGCGTCCAGGCGGGTCTTGAATATCTCCAGTGAAGGGGACTCCACAACCTCCCTGGGCAGCCTGTTCCAGTGCTCCGTCACCCTCAGAGGGAAGAAGTTCTTCCTCATGTTCAGACGGAACTTCCTATGCTTCAGTTTATGCCCATTGCCCCTTGTCCTGTCACTGGGCACCACTGAAAAGAGTTTGGGCCCATCCTCCTGACACCCACCCTTAAGATATTTGTAAGTCCCCTCTTAGCCTTCTCTTCTTCAGGCTGAACAAGCCCAGCTCCCTCAGCCTCTCCTTGTAGGAGAGATGCTCCAGTCCCCTCATCATCCTCATAGCCCTCCGCTGGACTCTCTCCAGTAGCTCTTCATCTTTCTTGAACTGGGGAGCCCAGAACTGGACACAGTACTGCAGATGGGGCCTCACTAGGGCAGTGTAGAGGGGAAGGAGAACCTCCCTCGACCTACTGGCCACACTCCTCCTAATGCATCCCAGGATCCCATTAGCTTTCTTGGCAGCCAGGGCACACTGCTGGCTCATGGTGAACTTGTCGTCCACCAGCACTCCCAGGTCTCTCTCCACAGAGCTGCCACTCCAGCAGCTCCGCCCCAAGCCTGTACTGGGTACATCTTGCAGTGTCTCCCCTCCACAGTCGTGCAATGTCAGCTCCACCATGTCGTGTTTGACCTGCACTTTTCAGGGTCTTCCCAATTTGTTGTCAGAGACCTTTAACTGTCCAGCATCTGTGAGTTCTGCAACAATGATCTGTGCTGGATTTATATGGGGTCCTGGGCATGCGTAGCTTCTGATGATCTTTACACAGAGAATTACAAAACATTTGTTTACAGAGACATATTGGAAAGATGTATTTGCTGCTGTAAAAGCTGGTCATGTGGCTAAGCTGTCACCTCCTCCCATGGCTAGTGATCCCGCTCGTATCCAGCCACCCACTTTGAAATGCAGTCTACCTGAGGAAGGGTGTCCTGGGCTGGTAATTTCTGGGAAGATCATCAGGCTGAGATAAAAAAAGGTCCCAGACCGATGAATCATTTGACATCGGGATGTGGTAGGATACTGATGCTAGATTCTCTATATTTGAATGCAACAGATCTCTCTCACTGAAAACACCCTCTCTGAACCAGCTACTGCATAGGAGTACTTGAATGTTCTCAGCCCTGGAGGAGGCTGTGCTAAACTCCTAAACCAGAGCAGGTGCTACTAAGGCAAAAGTGACTGAGGGCATAGCTGGAAATCTCAGCATAGCTAGGCTTCAAGCAGTGGATAGACAGATGGGGCTCAAAGGTAAAGCGAACTAGAAAGACTTGGAAGCAGAAGACTCCAAGAAGGGAAAAAGAGAGAGCATGAATAATTGCATTTGTAAATGTTTCCCCAGCTTAAATGAAGCACTTCTTTATTATGAGACATTAACTGAATGGCACTGATACATATCTGTAAGTTATTAGAGGGGACTCAAGTTTAAAAAGAGAAATTGCTTTATTTCACTTTAAAATGCCCCTGATCCCAAAGCCAGGCCAGTTTGCCAGCGTTCCCTGAGCAGCAAGTTGCGCTCTTGCTGCCTCTCGCAGCCAGGCAGCATCGCAGCAGCGGTGTCTCTGCTGGGGATCTGGGGAAGGGGCTGATGCATCAGGTACAGCGGGATTGCTGGGGTGGGAAGGTCCCAGGCATGGGGAGGATCGGAGGGAGCACAGGGAAGCAAGTGAGGTGGTCAAGCAACCCTGGTTCCAGCCCTCGTAGAACAACTTGCTTTCATGTGCTTGCTCCATTTGTGACAGATAAAAATGGCATCTGGTCTGGAGCTTGGCATGTTTGATATTAGTGAAAACCAAGCCATAACAAAAACACATGATCATACTTAAAAATTGCAGTGGCTATTGTTCCTTTTTTATGACAAGAAATTGAGTAAAGGGATAAACTTTTCAGTATATCCTAAAAATTGAAAGCTTGATGCCATTCATAATTGATGGTGAGGAGAAGAGACCCCTGTAGCAGAACCCTTAGCGTGTCCAGCTGGAAGTTTTCAGCAGAAAGCACTGCTGTGTCAGTGAAGTCAGTGATTACGACCCATAGTCACCAACAGCAGCAGTGAAGATGGCAGGATGAAAACAATGCTCACCGTCTGAGAATCAGCTGAAGGTGGAGAAAGCCTTCCATGGATGCATAACTACTTCTCCTCTCCACCAAACGCTGGTTACTGGCTGACATAAAAGCCGTTTGCTGCCAGCATACGCCAAACCCCCGAGTCCACGCTTTATGACTCATGGCCCCTCCGACTAAAAACCCTTGAAATGTCAGTGCCATTTTAAGCCCCCAGGTTTATCGATATGACTGGTTAAAGTCAAGTGGTCTATCTGGCAAGATCAACCTGAATCTGTAGAAAAAAAAGAAAATCCAGCATAAGCACTTCTGCTGTGTCTGCTAGGAGCTGCAGTGGCTATGCGTTTACAGGCAAGAAGCCATGAGAAAGAACAGTTTGGCTCGCTTAGCTCGTAGCGGCTGCAAGTAGATGCTGTTCTAAGCAAAGGAGAAAATTATACAACCTGGTGGTAACTGCTGGCACTGGCTTTTTATTGGGAATCCTCAGTAGGAGTTTGCATGTGTTTCCTAGCAATGTGACATCATGAAGTGAGAAAAACAAGCAACAAGGGAAATGTTTTGAAGACGAATCAGTTTCTTTTTGCTTTCACTGGTGGTGTGATTACAGGGAGAGATTGCACTGCTAGCTATAACAACACCCCTCAATATGAAAAGTCACATTTTCATCAAGGCCATTTATAGAAGCTGTCCCCCACAGATAATGTGCTGATGACTGGAGAGAACATTTGCTAAAAGAATGGCTCTGGCGGGTGATGAATAGTGCTGTGCAGGTGGTGGTGATAGCTCTAAACCCAGTTATTTTTAAAGAGAAGTAGCACTATCGCCTGCTTTATCTTGTCAGAGCCGCGTCTAGGCTTTGAAACCTGGTATGGGTTATATTCATCTCTACTGATTTACGATGCGCCTGACCACTGGTGGTGACCTGTGGTGACCTGATCTTCCCATATTGTCTTTTCCCCTCAAGTGGCACTCCAGACACAGATTTTTCTTACAGGACCACCAGAAACCCAGTATACATTTTATGTTGTACATGAAACCATGGGCTGCAATCTATTTTAATAGTTCCTGACAGCATTTCAGGTACAGGATAGGTACTTTCTGCTCTAGTGACTCATGTACCTATCCTT